TCAGTTCAGCGAGGAATGCTGTCATCACATGATTTCAGTGGATTGACAGATTATAATAACATCATAACATCCAGGACAAACCCACATTAGGTTATAATAATGACATCGATGTGCACATCTTACCCATAGAGCTGCGGGATGAATCTAGGATGGCCTGAGCTTTGCCACTGTCCATTGTGATTTCCTCTATAGCTTCCAGCATCTCCTCAGTCAGTTCCTTCCTGTTCCCGATCATCTTGGCCAGCTTACAATACATACTATTATCATTCACTATCTTCATCAGTTCTGGAAAATGGTAGCCGTACCATTCACTGCACAGATACAAACAGAGAGAGAGTTCCAATAAATGAAAGTTCCAATAAGGGGCCATTCACACAGAACACGTCTTTAAGTCTAAAAAATGCGAGACGCAGCGCTCAGGAATGGTTTTAAAAAAAGCGCAGCGTAGAACGCGAGGGTCTCGAGACGTGCTTTTCAGCAATAACAACAATAGAAATAGGCAAACAGCAGAATTGATAGATACGAGTTTTGACATGGAAAAAAGAAAATAATTGCACCGGCTATCGCCTCCTCCGCCATGTTGCCATAATTAAAAAAAAAAAAAAAATTTGTCATGCTAACTTACTACTGTAAACAGAAGCTTGCAACGCTTGCCCCGCCTCCAAATTCTTCTGATTGGTCCACTGCTTTGGAACTGACATTGAGCAGCGCTGCGTGTAAACGGCATCTTAAACGCGGTGCTCATGTGAGAGTCATGACGCGAGCGTAACAGTCATGCACGTCCGTCAAGCGTGTGCTTACAAAGAAAAACAATGTAAAAGTAGCGCATTTGAATGGAAAAACGCATTCTGCATTAACGTTTTTTGTCCCCTGCACATTTTGGGGACAAAAAAAACAAAACTGTTATTTCTGGTACTTGTAGGGCCTCACAAATTGTTTGATTGGATCTTAATATAACCATGTAAAAAAAAAAAAGTGTGATTAAAGAAAAAAAAATTTTTTTTACAATAATTTTACTGTTTAAAATTAAGAAACCCAAGAAAAAAAATAAATAACAGTACAAGTTTAGTACAGTACTAAGTATGCCTGTCTTAATTTCTTCATTTTCAAATGTTAAACCGCCGAGCTATTATTTTCAATTTTGATGATTGCACTAGGACATATCATGATTTGGATTTTATTTTGAATAATCATACATCCCTAAGTTAAGTTTACTAGGTGCAAAACAACTTCCCACTCAAGGTCTGTCTCCCCCCTCAGGTTGTGTTCACTCCAGTCTGATGGACCAAACACTCCTGAGGAAGGACTTTACTGTCCCTCCACTTCCTGTACAGCCAGAGCACTAGGGGGCGCTGTCTGTGGTAAGCATTAGGAGGCTGCTGTATTTGTTTCCTGTAGTTAGATCAATCTAAAAACTCCAGTGAAAAACATCTTACCGCACACGCATGGAGAACGTGTTGATGTCTTTGTCCAGCTGATCGAGGAGGGCGATGGACTGGATGATCATGTTGTCCACTCTGTTGACATTGAACTTGACTTTGGCTCTGGAGTAGCTGTGACCCAAACCCAGCTGCGCTTTGGACGCAGCCTGAGAGGTGAGCCCCTTGACCAGGGAATGAAAGTGCAGACGCACACCTGTCAATCACAAGCAGGTGCATTAGAAACAGTCATTGCTGGACTCATAAAACCACACTTATTTTTGGCCTGTCTGTTCAGATTTTCAGTATAAAGCATCAGAAATCAGGTGGTCTAGGTACATCATTACAGCAGGCTTTAGAAAATGTTTGGAAATATGTATTTGCATATGTCATTTAAATCGGGATTTCAAAACTTTTACAAGGGGCCGCAAGGAAGTGCTAGGGTGTCCAGAGAAACACTGAGAATAGAATAAAAACAGTTATTAAATATAATTTAAAAAAAAAACTAACTTTCCAAATAGTTTACACATTATACAAATGTTTTACAGTAAAACTTGGGTCTTTCATACATAAAAATATAAAACTACCTTTTAAGTTTTAAGATCGAGGATGATAAAATTTTGGGTCTTTTTTATCTAAAAGATTGAAAACCCCTGATTTAAATAATCATGCTCTCTGCTCACCCCTTATTATTTCAGCTACAACGCCTCCAGTCTGAATGGACAGATTGAGCTCTTCTTGAAGCGCAGCACCAAGCTTAGCATCAGACACCCCCAACATTGCCTTCTTTTTACCTCCGGACGGAAGGTTGGTCTCCAAGAACAACTTGAGATCCGCATGGACAACTCCTGTCAGGATCAGATTAGAAACTAGGTGTGAGTAATTGAAGGTCACAATTTGTAAGTCAACATGTCAACCTCAGATGATCAGTTTGTAAGTACGCTGTCAACACAGTAATTCAGTGGATTGACAGATTATAGGTACATCATTGCATCCAAGAAGCAGTTTAAAATAAGACCTTCATCTCTCTTACCTTCTGAGACGGCATTGATATTTTCCAGTGCACCTTGGGCGGATTTAAAGGGGAAGAATGCACTCAGTTTGATCACACTACTGAATTTGCCCAGGTTTAAGACACTTTGCTCCACCTATGAAAGATTGAAAAATTAGTAATTTAGAAGACACTTAGATTTAAATTCAACTGAATTTAAAGTAATGAAACGAAAGTAGAAATACATCTACTCTTCCATATAATGACTCATCTGAGTGTAATGGATTACTGAAACATGAAAGGGAAAAAGAAGAAAAAAAAGTAGGGCGGCCCAAGTGATTAGAAAAGTGATGCATTTATCAGAAATATGTCACTTTTACATGAAAATCTAGTTTTCAAAATTATGAGGTCAAAAAAAAAAAAAAAAAAAAAATATATATATATATATATAAAAACCTAAAAGCATACATTATGCATTTTTCACCATATCTATAATGTGCATTCATTTTTCCTGCACATTTTAAATGATATACTTTTACAGATCTAATATCTTCTGCAATATATGCATAGCACATAGGTCATGCAGATTATTTTCAATGGTACTTTTATGGGTGGGTTACTTCTGGTTACCACTCCAGTTCTTCACCATGTTGTTGGTATGCATAATTTACTTCATTTCTGTATTTCTAAAATATACAAACCTGAGGTAGAAGCATTCCAATGTCTTCCACTTCTTTGACAGCGAATAACGCATATCCAGCTGCATGCTCGAACAACACGTGTAAAAGCACCTGAGAGAAAGAGAAGGTGAGATTATTGATCTGCACCAATACCATAAATCACTAATTATACCAAAAAGGAACAAAATCCCAAATGCTTCATTCCTACGTTAATAATCAAGCAAATAATACATTACAAAAGAATATTATGAATCTGATAGGATGGAATTGCAGGTCAACACCAGCACGCATGTAGCCCACATGGCGTTGGTACCTCCAGGTACAAAGCAAATGCTAAATTTTACATATTTAAAATGCTTATACAACATTGCGTAAGCAGAAGATAACAACAGTCGTTAATAAACCACCCCTGTGTAGATTTTATTGCATTAGAGTTTGAAGTAGGGATGGGCGGATCGATCCTTGAGTATCGATACTTTCGATACTGATGTTGTATCGAAAGGATCGATCCTCACATAAAAATATCGATTCTAAAGTGCATTTTTTTAAACATTAATTTTATTTACTTATCAAGAAATTCGGTGCATAAAATAAGCTTCTAAGTGGAAAAATAGACTATATTAGCGAATAATTGTGTTGGATAGAACCATTTCTCCTGCTCATCGGAACACACGTAAATGCTGAAAGACAGAACCAATCAATCACAGACAGCGTTTGCTGCTGACGCATGGCATGTGCTTGTTCAAATAGGGCTGCGTTTCCCAAAAGCATCAGAAGCGTAAGTACCGGTAGATCTTAAGAAACCATTGCCACATTATTACATTACATTGTTACTATATATAAAATTAATTCTGAAAAATGCATCACGGTTTCCACACAAATATGAAGCAGCAATAATAATAAAAGTTTCTTGAGCACCAAATATTAGAATTATGATTTCTGAAGATCATGTGACACTGAAGACTGGAGTAATGATGCTGAAAATACAGCTTTGATCACAGATGCATTTTAAATTACATTTTAAAATATATTAAAATAGAAAATCCTCATACAGCCTGCAGTGATTGATTAAATGCAGTTTGTATTGTGCGATCGCATCGTAATTGTGCTCAACAGACCAATCAAAGTAATTGTGATAACTCTGTAACATTAATGGCAATAAAGCGCAAAGATCTCTACAAACACGTACACTGGCCATTACAAGAGCACGATTTTAAATACAATGCAATCATGGTATTTAAATTATTGCAAAACACCAATCTGTTAATTTCTAAAGATTTCATAAAAAATCATGCATTTTTACCATGTTTACTGATCTCGTGCGCCACGCACGAGGGAGCGTTTACACCAAATACACAAAATAATGTTCTTTTTAGCAACATCATATGACCCCTTTAAGTCAATGGATAATGAACAATTTCTGTTGAATATTTGCTATAGGCCTATATTGTATGAAACAAGTGTCGTGTCATAAATCTGATTGGCTGATGTTAAACTGTTGTTAGTCCTTCCTGTTTAAATGAAACTTCACTGGTCCTGATATCAGTCAGATTACCAGATTAGACATTTAATTTCACTCCTTCCAGGAAACCAGGCCGTTTCTGCTTCTCAGGGAAGCAACACTATAGTTACTCTTGTTCTCTTTCTTGTTCACTTTATCTTCCTTTCGTTTGTAACAATCAATGTTATTGTGCCTTTAAGGCAACTAAACATCCATGTTATGCATAGAGATGTGGAGTAGCTCCCTTGCACAGCTGCACTTCAGGGGCGTTTGTGTAATTTTTCCAGAATTGCAGTAAAAATGAATAGCACTAACACGTTTTTTCCACCTACTCTGGAAACTAGTGCACTAGTGCAGCCAGAGGAGTTGGCAGGAAGCAGTTATTGATGTGAAAAGTTGTGTGTTGTTTAGAACAGGATTGATAGTCAACTCACTTTGAAGAAGAAAAAGCCGACCAAGTTGAAGAGGAATCGGATAATAAAGTTGTAATTTCTCATTACGTCTGTCATAACTACACCTGGATGCACAGAGTTTGCCGTCACACCTGAAACACACACAAAACCATGGTTTTCAAAACAAATTCAAAACAGTCAGTGGAGTCAGAAGTGCTCAGAATTTGCTCTTTTCACAGCTCAAAATACTTACAATTGCTTAGACACTAAAAGTGGTACTTGAGTCCAACTCAGTGAAACCATTCACTCATATACTGTACATACTGCTTATACAGTGTACAGTGCACAGCATAAATGAGTACACCCCCTCTGATTAGATATAAAAGATGTATTTTCTTAATGATCACTAAAATTTGTTAAGTTTCAGAAGGGGTGTACTCATTTATGCTGTGCACTGTATATGTGCATATGTATGTATGTGCGAGTGCTATGACAAACTCCTGTGCACTCCACTGCACACTGAACAAGCAATACTGAACAATATTGAATCATGAAGCAATGTCAAATCTAATAATCAAAATCTAATTGTGACTTTCTGCTCATTTTCTCATGGCAGCAGCAGTCGGTCAAGTATAATGAGTTGTGGTTTGAACGTGTACCTGTGCCCTGAAGCCTGCGTGCCAACTCGTTGGTCCAGATGACGTTGTGCAGCTTGGTTTGGTTATATGCAGCATCCATCACATGCTTTAGATTGTGACCACGGAAATGATGAAAGTTTACCTCACCTTTCCAGTGATTCATAGACGAAACATTTACGATACGAGCTGGAGCTGATTCCTTCAAAAGGTCTGTATGACAATAAAAAAAATGTGTTACTCCCAGAATCCAGATGTGACTTTTCAAATGAATATTTTATCCAAAAATTTAAATTTGCTGAAAATGTATTCACCCTCAGGCCATCCAAGAAGTAGATGAGTTTGTTTCTTCATCAGAACAGATTTGGAGAAATTTAGCATTGCATCACTTGCTCACCAATGGATCCTCTGCAGTGAATGGGTGCCGTCAGAATGAGAGTCCAAACAGCTGATAAAAACATTACAATAATCCACAAATAATCAACACAACTGCAGTCCATCAATTAACATCTTATGAAGTGAAAAGCTGTGTGTTTGTAATAAATAAACCCATCATTAAGGAATTTAACATTCAACTATTGCTTATGGCTAAAATATGAGTAAAATATGAGTCTTCTATCCATAGTATTGCTTTCTCCAGTGAAAAAGTCCGGACCTCCAGGAATTGAGTTTGACGCCCCTGGTTTAAAGTTAAATGCCTTAATGATGAATTTGCTTCTTACGAACTCACAGCTTTTCACTTCACAAGATCAACTGATGTACTGGAGTCGTGTGGATTACTTGTGGATTGTTGTGATGTTTTTATTGTGTTTGTAAAGTTTGGACTATCATTCTGACGGCACCCATTCACTGCAGAGGATCCAGTGGTGATCAAGTGATGTTACATTTCTCCAAATCTGTTCTGATGAAGCAATATCTTGGATGGCCAGAGGGTGAGTAAATTTTCTGCAAATTTTCATTTTGGGTGAACTATTTCTTTAAGATCTAAAAAAAGGCATTAGCAATTGGAATGCTGTCTGACCTAAAAGCAAACTGGTGAGCAGAAACGGCCCAACATGGTTGGTTGCAAAAGTGATTTCCAACCCATCTGCAGTGATCTTACTCGGTAGGCCTGTAGGTATTAACAAACCTTGGTTTGTATGGACATACAAATGAATATATGAGAGATGGAGAGAGAGAGAGATGGGCATTCCACCTGAGGCCCCTGCGTTATTGACCAGCATATGTAATTCCTTCTCTTCCTCCACGATCCGTGCTGCAAACTTCCGCACAGAGTCGAGCGACGAGGTGTCAAGCAGACGCAGATGTACGTTCTGGTTCCCAGTACTTTCTCTGATTTCTTGTAGCGCTGCAGTCCCACGAGCCTCACTCCGGCACGCCAGGATCACCCGCGCCCCACGACGAGCAAAGTCCAGGGCAATGAATTTCCCAATACCTAAAATATAACAACAAAAGGTGAATGACACAGTAGTATTCGGGAATAAGAAAGTGAGTAATTATGACTTAACATAATTATGTATGACTTTATGCAACACAATAGCACGTCAAAACTGTTTAAGATATAAAAATATATCTTATCTTTTATCATCATCATATCAAACTTAAATTAAGCTCCTACCACAGTCCACAGGAAAGAAAAATCACAATAACAAAAGAGATGTCAATATAACCTTCAATGAATTTCTCCATGACTGTATATTATTTGAGCAATTCTATACAGAATCATTTTATAATAATTGTATGCTCATTTATATTTGTTTCATTATATTTATATATTTTCTATTCTGTTTCTCTATTTTAACTTTTAAAAATTCTCCCAGGGATCATCTGAGCCAAATTACCTAAACATTCAACCACTGAGTTTTTGAACGCCATGACCTAAACCAGTCACTCCAAACGCAACAAATGTGAAACATCTGGTACAGATTGGCACGAGCCTGCAGCTAGTTTAACAAGTTTTAGCAAGACAGAGCTGTTCCACGACTCTGCGTAAATATGAAAACAAACAAGTTTAGGTTTTATACACACGAAACATGTCTTGAACTTCGTTATAATTTTTTCGTCACAATATTTGTAGTTTCATGGATACTCTGTGTCATTCGTCTTCTGCGTAAAAGGGTCTTCCACAATTCTACTCAGGTAGGCGTTTGTGTGCTCACCACCATACATTAAAATATCATTCATTTTCATTTTTAATGGTAAAAGTTTGATTCTCACCCGTGTTAGCTCCAGTCACAATCGCAGTTTTCCCTTTTAACTTAACGGGACAAGCGCGCGGGTTCCACGGTGCTTTCCGCTGCGCGCGTACAATTATGGCCAGGATCGCCGCTGAAACCATCCATAACGGATGGGAATACATGTCACTCCACTGCCAGTTCATTATCAAGTCTGCGTGCCTCTGTTAAAATCCTCGGTTTATTTAAGAGACGATGTGCCGAGCATAATCCGAGTGACCCTGGCACGACTGCGCCCAATGCGTGCGCACAGGGCAAAGACTGTAAACGCATAACTCAAGACAATCTATTCCCGTCATTCACTGATAGTAAACACTGACTTCTCTGGGGGTGTGGAGTTATATGAATGTATCTCTGAGGAGAACTTAAAAGTTTCGATGGCATTTTATTTTCCTCTTGCTTACCACTGTATAATGCATAATAATGAATAATGTAATGTTTTTTTAAAAATGCTTACAGTTTTTGAAACTATGCCTCCATTTCTCAAAACTCTACACACAAACCCAGAAAACACACACACAACATGCAAAACGTCACACATATTTTGCAAAAGCAAACTCTTCTTTCAAAACTATTTGGCAGAATGTGATACATTTGTGTAAAGAAGCAATCTGATTGTGAACTAGTGCAGTCTTTCAACATACAGTTTGTCAGGAAAATCATGAGGTCAAGTTGCCTGAGGTGATTTGTTGTACCTCAGATTTCCTTTTCTGCTGTGTTCAGCATTCGTCTGAGCAAACAGCATAGCAATTCCTAGGAAAAAAGGATAAAACTGGCTTATACGGGTCTGTTGTGAGATAGAAATCTCTTAGATCATCTGGCAAAGCGCAGTTGTTTTTCTGGAAAACACAGGAAAAACACACCTGATGTAAACATACCCACATTAAAGCTCTGCTTTGAGAATATTCTCTGTTCAACTGAAATTCCTCCATACTTGCTCCCAAGACAGAAGGCATCGCTTTTCTGCAGGGGGTTTCTCTACAAATCCTACATCCAGCACACCTGGGAGGTTCTCTGCCAAACACATGAATGCAATGCACATATATTTATAAGCATTTAATCAATCATTAAATAAGAAATGAATCTCTAGCCTAACGATAATTGACCTGGTTTGCATTAGTGCTAAGACAGCAACCCTAATTAAGAAAAACAAACATATTAATCCACCCTAAGCTGCTTTGTTGGTCTTAGATGGTCTCCCAGTCTGGCCAAGCTGGTCATCAGCTGGCCTCCCATCCTGACCATCTAAAACGTACCTAAAACCAAAGCAACCCGGGAGACCATGCAACCTATTGTAGGATGCTGTCTATCATTATTTATATTAAACATTGTCCACTCACCCAAACCCCGAGTAATACCGAGGGTGAGTCTATCTACAAACCCCTTGTATGTCTTGTCATCTTTCACCTCCTCCATTCCAAAATAACACAAAAAGCATCTAATCTATATACTTACAGGTGCATCTCAATAAATTAGAATGTCGTGGAAAAGTTCATTTATTTCAGTAATTCAACTCAAATTGTGAAACTCGTGTATTAAATAAATTCAATGCACACAGACTGAAGTAGTTTAAGTCTTTGGTTCTTTTAATTGTGATGATTTTGGCTCACATTTAACAAAAACCCACCAATACACTATCTCAACAAATTAGAATAGAGATGCACCTGTAAATGTCATTGATTCGCTTGCTGCATAGACACACCGACGGATGCTGAGGTTATCAAGCACGCGGAACCAAAACACTGTGGTTCTCCGCTCCTATTGGCTGAGAAAATTACAGATACGTGATTTGACCAATAGTATCCTAGATTGGCGGGTGCAGCATGTGAATGTTATCCAATCACACTAACCAGAGATGAAAAAGAGGAGGAGCTCTTGCGCGTAATCTGGAAGTGGCGGTTGTTTCAGTATGGCGTCTGTTGCTGAGGGCGCAAATGGCAATGGATTTGACTGGATTCATGACAGTATCCTAACATTTTTTTCGTATTTTTGTTCGATGAGTCAGTTTAAATGAGTTATATTATTATAATTTAGCAAGCATAAAGGTCAACCGTGGTCCGTGGTCAGTGTTTATGAGAGAAGGGAGCTAATAACTTATTAACGTTAGCGGATTTTCATTGTCAGTTTAACCGAACTCTAGTTTTAGACTAAAATCTAAAACACGACAACTGCAGCTTTATGTACTAAAAGTTTTAGTACATAAAGCTGCAGTTGTCGTGTCTATACATTTACTGTACTGAATTTCATTTATGTTATTAGAAAGAAACATAGACTGCAGTGAATTGTAACCGCTTTGTAATGTACAAGTAAGTATACATCTCTGAAATGTAGAACAATATGCTACATTACAATGCATTACAGCAGCATCACATAACTGCATTTTACCACGTTGATTGGAGTACTACTGTATTAATGCTGCAGTCTTATTCTATTTAATATTTTTAGACTGTTAGCTGATAGACTCTGATAGATTATTTTTATGGTAGACTGCTGTTTCTGCTGTGTTTTCTTTAACTTGCATAGAATCAGATGAAGAGCAGCAGCCCATGGTTTTTGTTACAGGTGAGTCTTGGATTTATGTCAGTTTTAATGTTTTGGACTGATACTGTCAGATACTAAAATATCAATACTTGTTCATTATTCTGACAACTCATGTTTGACATTTGAAAACTGTCACTCCCATTCTCTCTTAGGGATGAGCAAGAATGCTGTTCTGAAGGTTGGGTCTGCAAATAATACAGAGGGAAAGATAAAAATGAGAGCTAGCGGCATGGATAAAAGTAGGAAAAAAACAGGATTGTATTCGGCAATGCAACGTGCTGAGATGGTGGTGGGTAAAGCTTCAGATCAGAAGCTGCCTTCTGTTGTAGCCAAATCCAAGATCACTACACCCGCACCAGAACCAGACCTGCCTCCTCTCACTTCAGCTCAGGTGAGCGTTGAAAAATGAATATTTACAGTGTATGTGAGGTGAAGTGCCTCTGTTGTCTGCAGGGATGCAAACTTGCCACTTTTTGCTGATTATCGCCGTTTTGAATCTGCGTGATCCACCAACAAGCTTTCCAAGTTTGTAATGAGAATTGTTTATAAATCTGTTGTCAACAGTGATTTTCCATGTTTTTTTTTTTTTTCATTTTCTAATTATTACTATTATTTTTTTTATCATCATTATCATTATTCTATGGTCATATTGAATGGGAATGAACAGTGTGAATGTGGCCTGACAGCTGAAGTAGAGAGAGATACTTTTTAAATCTTCATGCTAAATGGAATGAAAATCCACATTTTAAAGCTGACATTTAAAAACAAATCTTCCTCTCTACAGTGGTTGCATCTTTGTCACCTTTTTTATACCCCTGATTAATTTGCATCCTTGTGTCTGTAATTAATTCAACTCTAATCATTTAACATACACTACAGTCAAAAGTTAATTCTTTATCATTGCTAATTTTCACATGTTAAATAATACATTTATCAACTTTATGAAACTGATGCCAAATAGAAGTATGAAAATTATGTAGTGAGTAGTGACCAAAATATGTTTAATAAATTCAGAAATATCTTTTATGCGACCTATAATTGAATGTATGTTGGACACTTTTCTTTAATATCCACTCCAGCATCCACTTAAAAATAGTAAATTAAAATAAATGTAGGAATTCAATTCATATTCTATTTGCTATATTTGTCTGCATTTTATGTCTAGCAGGCTTAGATCAAAAGTTTTTTGAGCTCCTGAGAAACATGCAAGTGTGTCTGAATTATTGACTGGTACTATATTATGAATATATTATTCATCACAATGATTATCTTCCGATTATTTTTTTTCTTTTCATGATTTCAGTGACAGTGCTTTTAATTAGGATGGTTTCAGTTTGCTTTTCTTTAGATTTTAGACATTTTGTGCATACTAATCTTTGGGAATCTAATCTTTTTTTTAGTGTTTTGTGCCATGAGTATTGCATTTTTTTAGAATGACATGTCAGGTTAAAAGTTGACACCCATCTTGACACCCATGTTTTTGTAAATGTCCCCTTAAGAAATACATCCAATCAGGGCATTGTGAACCTGAAACCATCTTAATAATTCAGAGCTTCAATAAGACAGATTGGTCAACTAATCAATTTCGACAATGTGTTGTTTTGCATATACTCTGCAAAACTGTTAATATTTGCATAATTATGTCTTTATCAAACATCACCTTGCATGAACTAATATTTCCTTCAGGAAATGCAAATCTAATTCTCTTTGGCAGTCATAAATTCATACGGTTATTTTTTAGGATGTACTAAGAATCTAACCAAGTTTGTTCATTTGAGTTGTACAGAAATTTGTGTTCTATAGATGTGTGGAAATAAAATTTAAAAGTGTATGTTTTGGACTGTAGACTCTCTTCAGCACTGCTCAAGCCAGAAGTAAGCCATCATTGAAGGATCTCTGCCCAGAGGACAAGCGTCGGATTGCAAATCTCATCCAGGAGCTGGCCAGGTAAAGTCCTCTCATTATAGTGATCTGATACTTTTTAGACTGAATGAATGATTACAGTAGCCTTCAAGCCAATGTGATTTTCTGTGCATAGTGATACAGCTGTGTATCTGATCTGTTTTGTTTGTGTTTCTTTTCAGAGTTAGTGAAGAAAAAGAGGAATCTGTACAGAAACTCAGGGATGAACAGGAGACGTTTGAGAAAAAAATCCAACATCTAGAGCAACAAAACCAACTCATCATACAAGAGAGAGAAAGTATCCTTTTAAGACAAGCAAGGAAGCAGTAAGAATGTTCTGGTTGAGTTTAAATGATGCCATCAATTGCACCAAATTAACATTGATTACATTTTAATGGCAAACCCTTGGGAAGTCAGTGGGAAATCCCCCCCCCAACAGAAAATTTTTTCTGTTAATGGCAGTAATTATTTATATATTAAACATATATTAGCTGTTATCCTTCCTAGAGATGTTAATTCAGAATCATACATAACATATTCATTGTTATGTGAACTTTTCAAATTATTTGATTAATGCATTACTGTTCAAAAGTTTGGTATCTAATATTTTTTCGAAAGAAGCCTCTTATGCTCACCAAGGCTGCATTTATTTGATAAAAAATACAGTAAAAACAGTAATATTGTGAAACGTTATTAGAATTTAAAATAGCCATTTTCTATTTTAATATTTTTTTTAAAATGTAATTTATTCATTTGATAGCAAAGCTGAATTTTCAGCAGCCATTACTCCAATCACATGATCCTTCAGAAATCATACTTACATAATTATACTGATTTG